GCCGACGGCACCCTGAGGAGACCCACTCTGTGGGAGCGTACAGGTCGATGGGAGGTAATCTGCGGCAGAAGGCGGTCTCGAAGGTATCCGGGTCCGATGCCATGGAGCGCTTTAAAGATGATAGTCAACACCTTGAAGCGCACCCGGAAGGCCACAGGCAGCCAATGCAGCTCGCGCAGCAGCGGTGTTATATGGGAGCTTCGAGTCCCTCCCAACACCGCCCGCGCGGCCGCATTTTGGACTAGCTGGAGCCTCCGGGTGCTCCTCAAGGGGAGCCCCATGTAGAGAGCATTACAGTAGTCCAGGCGGGAGGTGACAAGGGCATGAGTGACCGTGCGTAGGGCGTCTCGGTCCAGAAAAGGTCGCAACTGGTAAATCAGACGAACCTGATAAAACGCCCCCCTGGTCACGGCCGCCAACTGATCATCCAGTGTCAGCCGTGGATCCAGGAGGACACCCAAGTTGCGTACCCGATCCCTAGTTCCAATATGGCTGGGAAAGTTATTTTAAATCTCTGAAGAACTGTAGTCAAGATGATGGGCTTAAAAGTCTTTTTAAACCACATTGGAATCAGTGTGTCAGGGTTCCGGCTAATGAAACACTTCAAAGAACTTCCAGGCATTGATTTTCCTAAAAGTCTTTTATTTATGTTACACAATGTTGGCACGGCATGATGAAGGGATGCTAAGATCTAAATTATCTTCCCCTGAGCAATTAATTTACCAGCATGTTCCCTCCCTAAATTTGCTGTCATATATCATGTTCTCCTATCAGATGGAAGGGCAAAGGTTCTCTTCCGTTCTCTTCCCAGGCGCAGTCCTATCTTTCTCCTACCCCACCATCATCTGAATTAACTCTAAAAATACCAGACAGTTCTGTATATTTTGTCAAAGCAAGAATATTCAATATTAGCAGCGTTGACACATTGCTGGTTCACTATCATGCTATGCCGTAATGTAAGTTGTTAAGTTTTGCCTTAATGTAATAGATTTCTGACAGCGGTTGGGTAACCTTTTGATGTTTTGTGAATGGCACAGATGTTGCACTTGGCTTTGGGGCATAATAACACCAGATTGGCTGATTCTTTTTAAACTGACTCAGGAGATAGTTTGCTTATTCCCCTTCATTTTTAACAAAATGTTAAGCTTATTTTAGGGCATACTGAACAGGTTTTGTATGTTTATATCTCATAATGATGTGAAACTCTTTTTTGTTCCTTGTGATTAAAAAAAAAAACACTGCAGGAGGTATAAGAAAGATTTCAGGGGCTATAGCTACCAATCTGTACCTTAATGATATTTATGATATGAAGCAAGTATGACCCCAAAAATCCTTCATTTAACACAGTGTGAAGGCAGCTATGAATTTATAGCATCCTTGACAATCTCCAGACATGTGAATAGGCCTCTTGAGTACAGTGACAGACAAGATGGCTCCATATGCTGTTGTTGTGACTCAAACTTCATTCTTTTGTACTTGGCATCCTGATGTCTGACACAGGAACATATGCTGCAGGGTTTGTGTAATAACATCATGACATGAGTTTTGCTATTTCGCTCCCATGGACAGTGGATAGGTGGACTCCAACTCCCAGAATTCCTAACCAGCATGATTGTTAAAATTCTGGAAGCTGAGGTTTACTCATCTGGAGGGCAGCAAAGTTGAGGAAGCCTACATCATGTCTATATGATTAGAGTCATTAGACTGACTTTCAGGTAATTCATTTCAACAATATTTGCCAGTTTTAATGTAAATGGTAGGAAGAAAAGAATGATTAAAACACGAGAGCTGCTTTTCCACAGATATACCTGTTCTTATTTTTGTCTCTTTGTTTTTTAAGAAATGAAGAGTTGAAGTACCTGCAGTTGCTTCAAGAAGTTACGAATTATATTTTGCTTAGAAGTTGTTACTGGAAGAAGTGAGTCAGAAATTTTTTAGAAATAATTTATTTCTGTGAATAGTATGTAAAATACGTTCTCCTAAGATGAAATATTTTCTTCACGTTGGCCTAACTTCCACCTGTGTTGGGTCTAAATTGGAATAAATTGGCAAAGATTTCAATAGATACCTTTCTTTAATTAAAATCACAATATGTAAAACAATCCAACAGTAAATGTAGGACAGTCTAAACAGATTCTAACAAAGCACTGTTTTTTCTTTGTCCCAACAGAAATAATACAATTCTTGCTTCAAACTTTCTGCAAGCAAATTCAAATGATTCTTCAAGATGCTGAATGCTTTAATTGCTCCTTTGTAGATGCTTGTGCTCTAACAAAAGAGCAATAGTGGCAATTTGCAGTTTAATTCATGGCTCTGCAATGTAAAATTCTGATTCCCTTGCTCCTTACAATCCAACTAACTTCATATATCAGTTCAATTTATCTTATTCAAAGAATAAGGACCCATTGTTATTATGCAGCTTTCCAATAATCAGGTCCCCAGTATGGCAAGACAAATTTTTCTCACCCCTCTTTCCTGGAATGATGATGATTCTTTACAAGGCTAAACCAAGGTACCATGAAAGTTAGACAATACCACACATGTTTGACAATTCTTGCATCAATTCCAACATATGTACATGTGATTAAACATAAGATGGAAAATGAAAACAGTGGAATGTGTTTCAAAGTTTTAAGTTTTATTACATACTTAAAGAATTCATTTGACTGAAGATACCTAAAATAGCATTGTGTTAGTATCAGATGGCTAATATTACTGCAGTACCTTTAGTGCATTAAGGATGTGACAAAGTAAAATATATTCCATTAAAAATATAGTTATTGAAGATAAACTTATTTGTTTAGTACATATCCCAACTTTCTGTGTGGAGGCACTTATATCACAGAACATAAACAAAACCCAGGAGAGATGTTACCTCTAATCAAATGGTCTTAAAAATGGGTGGGTGACATTCCATGAAGTGAATGTCATTGGAAATGAAAATTGCTTGCTAATATAGATTAAAGAAATTATTTTATCTCCCATCATCCTTCGTAGCACATGGTAGAGACAATAGTTTTATTAGGCTAGAGGTTGTTCTGCATTGTGAAGATACTTTTGGTATAAACCACTTTTGATTCTTCTGCTTACAATGCAACACATTATAAACCATCCCAGTCACATTTACTATTTTCTGGAACTTTTTCAACTGCAACACCAAAAGTTCAGGAAGCAATACTGACAATATATTGGAAGAACACAATGTTGGGGAAGGTTATTCCAGTTATCATAAAAGTAGTTATTCCATGGTGCAAACTAAATAAATCATCAACATTTGGATTCTGCTTTGTTGAGCAGAACAAATAGGGCTGTTTCAGGAAATTTAAATTCCTTTCAATGCTACGCATTTTTAATTTTAAGATCAAATGTTAGAGAAAGTAATAGCTCAACCACAGCATTGATCATTGTTTGAATGCTGTTTCATGTTTTGCATTCTTTATGCTTATGCATTCTTTATAAATATGTAATTATGTATTTGATACATATGCATTAACCATGTGTGCTCCTTATACGTATAGAAGGAATATTTGAGTTAAAATGTGATGGCTTGAAACATGATTGTACATGTACTTTATATCCAGATGATGTGTTGCTGAGTGATGTTCAGTAAATATTAGATATATTGCAGCAAAATACATGGCTTATTCAGTGAGCCTTATCAGTGAGGCAGATATGAGTGGGTTGTAAGTATATACACATTTATCTTGGTGTAAATCCTATTGAATTGAAATTAAATTAGCTCCCTTTAGACATATCACTTTAAATGATCTTTGATCCTTTTTTTAATGGGGACAGTTTTATCTTTGGATAACAATAATATGGAGATTCTTAGGTGACTCTGAAGATCCAGCAGTTTGTATTTTTTAAGTGCCTTGAAAACAAAGTAATATCTGTGTTATTATTTTATTGATGTATTTTGTTTTCTTTTTCTTTCTTTCCCTTTAAGGTCATTAGGTGATATAATTCGGATGCATATTATCAACAGGTGTGACCTTGATGAGGTAATACTCATAACCACTGTAATGTATTCCAGGAATAGTCTTATACATGTCTAGAAAAAATTATATTAAACTTTTTATGCTACACTTTTTAATTAGGAGAAGAAACTCAGGTGCCAAAAGCTACAAAGAAATGAATTATAGGGGTAATAAATTCAAAAGAAAAAAGGTGAAAATGTTTTCGTATATCTCCAAAGTACAACTAAACAAAACAATGTTTGATTGAGTAGGTAGCAATCTGCATTCTGGAGTAGCCAAATGTGAATCTTTCTTGCAACAAAAATTTGTATTTGTCATTTCTGCCATTTGACCCAACAGATAATGTCAGAGAGAATGTTTAACTCTCCACTTATAAGAAATGGATCCTTTCATACATCGTTAAATTGTAAACCCAGGGGGAAAATGCTCAACTTCTCCAAGTTTCAAAGCATCCTCTTTAGCATGAAGCCTATACTGATGGTACAAAGCACATATTGAACAAAACTGGTGACAGTAGAAATACAAAATTGAGTGTGTAGGTGATAATTCTTCATAGCTTTGGGTTCTTTATATTAATTGAAAGAGTATATGCAATCAAGTTATTTTCGACTACTAGTAACGACATAGATTTTCTGCATGTCTGTCTGTCTGTCTGTGTCTGTCAATCATTTATCTAAATTCCCTTTTCATCCATATGAATGGTGTGTATCTTCCTCAGTCTCGGGTCTCCTGCTAGAGACCTGGGAGTTTGACGGTTCTGCATAGTATCTTAGCTGTTCCCTGCACTGCACTCACTTCTGGACAGAGAGCTCTGATGTTATTCCTGGGATTCGTTGGAGCACTCTCCCAGCTTACAGTCATAGCCCCAAGTTCTTCTACCATCACTGGCACCAATTTGTCCTTTACTTTCCACATTCTCTCCAGTTCCTCCTTCAGGCCCTGGTACTTCTCCAACTTCTTCCTGATGTTGCTGTCACTTGGCATCACTGAATCTATCACTCCTACTGTCTTCTGGTCCTTATTTACTACCACGATGTCTGATTGATTGGCTAGTACCTTCCTGTCCATGTGGATCTGGAAGTCACACAGAATCATAGCCCTGTTATTCTCCATAACCTCTGTGGAATCTTCCATCAGGACTTGGGAAGGCCCAGCCCAAACACTGTGCAGATGTTCCTGAACACAATGCCAGCTATTTAGTTGTGCCGTTCGGGGTATACTGTTCCTGCCTGCATCTTACACTCTGCCATTATGTGCTGGACTGTTTCTGAGGTATCTCTGCATAATCTGCATTGGGAGTCCTGTCTAGTGTGATTGACTCCTGCAGAATAGTGCTAGTGCTTGTTCTTCTGTAGCCATTAACCTCTGGGCTGCCTTTTATTCCAGCTCTTTCCAGCCACTGGTAGGACTTTCCAACTCTGCAATGTCAGTTATCAATTGATGGTATATCCCTAGGCATATACCAAGAGATCTTGCCCAGCCATGGCACTTCCCATACTTGATCTTCCACCATATCTGCTGCTTCCTCAAGCATTATCTCAGCAGCTCATCTTTGGGTGCCATCTTACTTCTGTATGCTCTGGGTTTTGTCCAGGATAGTAGTACATACACATATATTTCTTCTATTCAATTGTATCTGATTCTCAGAGACTGCCTGCACAAGACTGCCTGCACAAGTCTCTGAAGTTTTCTTGATAAGGTTTTTCAGGCGCGATTTGCCATTGCTTCCTTCCTAGGGCTGAGAGAATGTGACTGACCCAAGGTTACCCAACTGGCTTCATGTCCATGGCAGGACCAGAACTCATGGTCACCCAGTTTCTAGCCTGATGCCTTAACTACTAATTGGACCAAAAACTACTTCTTTTGCTGGATGTGTTGCAATGTTAATATGAGAAAAGAGGATGTGTTAAATACACATAGAATAATTTTGCCAAAAAGATTTAATTAATGTTATCTGAAATACATACTTTTTGTAGGATGGACTCCTGTAAGCCACCAAAGGTGAACAGCTGTCCTCAGCCTAAAAAAGGTACATACCTCAGACTTTAATTTCAGAAAATCTTACCTAAATTCGCCCAATGTTTATGAGTTCCAGAGTTTGGTTTCCAACTATCATCACAAAAAATTAAGGAGTTAATTCTCTGTGACCAAGAGAATTAATGGAATTAGGAGAAACTTCCTAACAGTGAGAACAATTAATCAGTGGAACAGCTTGCCTTCAGAAGTTGTGGGTGCTTTATCACTGGAGTTTCTTAAAGAAGAGACTGGACAGCCACTTGTCTGAAATGGTATAGGGTCGCCTGCTTGAGCAAGGGGATGGACTAGAAGACCTCCAAGGTCCTTTCTACCCCTATTCTCATTGACTGATATGTTTCTAGGGGACACATCTTTTTAGTCATTTCTCCTACTGCTCTTTTCTTTCCTGGGAAGGAAAAAAACCCTACATTTTTATCGGCTTGCTGAAACACTAGCCTTTAGAAAGCAGGTTTTGCCACAAAAACCTGGAAGACTTAAACTTCCAAAACTAATTGGGCAAAAGAAACAGCTATACACTATATTGGCATTCTTCATCAGCTTTCTGTAAAATCAGAGGTTATGTGAGACTTAACCAGATTTTCTATAAAGACAAGTATGTTATAATCTAAGTAATTGCAGAATAATTGGATGGTAGAGTGGGTTTCTATGGGATCACTGCAATAGAATAGGCTATTTTAGCAACTGTAATGTTCAGACAATAGTGTAAATAGCATTCAGTAGACTGTACAAAATCTGTTAAAGAACAATTGGAACAGAATTTGGGTTAATTTCTATAGATTATGGTACTTGGCAAAAATTACTTATTAAAGGCAATTGATTTGTAATGTGCCTCAACCAGGCAGTTTAGAATTTATCTTTTTAAAGGTCACATTCTACAACTATGGAGAGATTTTAGCTATAGAGAGCTTTTAATATTAGTATAAATAAATTGATAACTGTGATAAAGCCCTGTAAATTCCTTACAGTAAGTGTCTAGTTTTTATGAAATAAAAAGTATGGATCTGAAAATTAATGTATCAAACACTAAGATAGTTGTGATTGACAGGAATGAACATTTGGAAATTATACATACATAATTAAAATTATAGCAAGGTAGATGAATTTATATATTGGTAGAATATTGTTGAAGATAGGGAGAAACTTTTAAGATGCACAAATGCTTTCATAAAGATGGGAAGAATGAATGTTTCTTGAAAAAGTAGTAAAAGTTACTTTAGCAGTACATAGCACCAGAAGGCAGGATGAGAAGCAGTGAGTGGAAACTAATCAAGGAGAGAACCAACCTAGAACTAAGGAGAAATTTCTTGACAATAAGACCAATTACCCACTGGAACAGCTTACCTTCAGAAATTGTGGGTGCATCAGCACGGGAGGTTTTTAAAATGAGATTGGAAAGCCATTTGTCCAGAATGGTATACTGTCTCCTGCTTGTGCAGGGGGTTGGACTAGAAGAGCTTCCAACTCTGTTATTCTGAACATCGCCTGCCCTTAGGGAAGTGAAGGTTGGGTACATCAGGAGAAAGGTAAAAGTGCTAATACTGGTTTCCTACTGCAATTTCAAGAAAGTGTAAGATATATTCTGCAGTGTTCGACAAGCACCCCAACAGGTATTATTATTATTATTATTATTATTATTATTATTATTAATTTAATTTCTATACCGCCCTTCTCCCGCAGGACTCAGGGCGGTGCACAGCATATTAAAACAGATACACATATCCATAAAAATAAAAACCCCTCTAAAACCAAATTAAAACCAAATATTCGAAGCTGTGTTCCAATTAAAATTATACTTAAAATCGTCCCTAAATAAAATCCTCCTTAGGTCAGGCCCACTTGCTGGAAAAGCCATGTCTTGAGGGCGCGGCGGAAAGTAAGGAGATCCGGAATCATCCGGATCTCGGGGGGTAGTTCGTTCCA